ACCAATGTTTTTAATAATAATAATAAACGTTTTAATCAACGGAGACTAAATTAAGAAATCAACAAATGTTTTCCAGTTTTGTTGTCTATACATTTCATTTTATAATTTCAGTACATAGACTAACAACAATATTAGGTTATACTTTTGTTAATGAACAACATGACATAAAAGCCATTGTTGGAACGTAGCGTTTCTATATTTTAGAAGTTGTTAATCTAATTGATTTTTACCAATAATTATTCTATGAATACGTCACGAATTCATTTCATTAAATGATCTTAATTTTGATTGGCTCACAAAGGAATTTACCGACGTTTGACTACCTCGACTGTACTTTTCTGCCTCTTTGTTGGTCAAGCTTGATTTGACAAAATGTATTTATTTCAGTTAGCTATGAAATGTGAGGTTAAGGTATACTTGCCCAATCATTTTTGACGGGCTATACGCTAGTAATATATAAATCACCTAAAAATGTAAACAGAAATAGCGTCAATATTGCAGTTAATCCCACTGTATGATGCAACATGTGGACTCTACTGTTAGTGAGCGGTAAATAAAGACGTTGGTAATTTGAGGGTTTAGTTTATCCTAATATACAGAAAGCATTATCTATATTTAAAGTTTGTTCTAAAACACACGGTTTGAAATAGATATGCTGAATGCCTATTCGATCGTATGTCATGTACTTGTTTTCGTTTAAGCATAAAGCTTCATAATGGGCTATTTGTTCTGTGCCCACCGCAGGAATCGAAGCCTGAATTTTAGCATTATATACCCTCAAGCTCACCACTGAGTCTTTGAGTCGAAGAACAACACGCATCCATGTTTTCCGTGTATCTGTGTTTAAATCAATTTGCATTTTTATTTCAGGATTTATAAAACACAGAAGCAGTGTTTTGCACATGTATCTAGTTTTTTGTAAATTATTTTTATCTAGAGCTAAAAATCATATTCATACAAATCGAGTTTTCTAATAATGAAATGTACACATTTATCTTAACTGATACAACTTTCTGAATTAATCTTCGTAAAAAAAATCTCCAATATCTTCTTTATAATTATATAATATAATATATAATTATAGCTTTCCTAATAAAAACATTAGGTTATTTTTTATTAGTCTACGACCTAAACAAAAACTCTGGAACAAAACTTTATAATATATAATATAAACCAATTTTTTACAGTACAGCATAACAAGTTATTTATTTTTATACTAAGAATTCAAAACTTACCTATATAAAAGAGTGAAAAATCAAATCAGGTTGGGAAATAGTATCTTTCTTACTATAGTGTATCATACACAGTCCTTATATCAATTGTCTAACGAAACCACAGGGCTTGGAGAACACGACTGGAAATCACTCATTAAAGTCATTCATTTATTCCTCTTTATTTCTACTGCTTATAGCGAAACTACAGGCAAAAGAACGGGGTTTAGAGAAAGCAGCTTAAAATTACTTACAAACTGTTATCGTATTACCTGATAAATTCTACCGATTTTATATTACCAGTGCTGTTATTACCAGACGCTGTCTTTTAATGTCCTTGATCCAAGTTTGTGTACGTTTATCTCATTTTTTTTATATTAATATCGCGTGAACGAACGTCCACAGCTTAATAACGCGTTCTCATTTTCTCTAATATACCTACGAGACCAAGTTTTATGCGTGTGATATTAATATCAAGATACTGTTTAAAGATGACACACATGAGCTAAACTTAGCTCTCCTTCCCTTATTAACTAAAAAGCACTTCGAACAACACGAAAATTATTTACAAACACCAAGTTAATAAAGTTGTAACTTATATAATAATAACACGTAGAGCAATGCTGAAGCAGCTAAAGAAGGGTCCCTCGGTGGATCAGCGGTAAGTTTAAGAAATTATAACGTTCAAATCCGGGGTTCGATTCCCCTCGATGGACACAGCAGATGGCCCAATATGGCTTTGCTGTAAAGCAAAGAAAAAAAAAGCTAGAGGAGTCTTAAATATTTGAGATGCGTGGAACGTTAATCGAGTTCGTCATCAAGGCGTTTGCTGAAGAGGTACAATAATAAAAGTATTACAGCAAGAAAGGGTTAAGGTTTTTAAACTTTACCTATCAGTCAAAATGTGTCATTTTTATGAAAGTACACGGGAAATGTTGATAACATGCGATAATTCACGAAGGTATCGACATATATGTGCACGAAGGTATCGACATATATGTGCTAGTATTATCCATGAGGTATTGCACGATAACAAACAAACTTGTGTATACATATAGAGGAATAAACTAACATAATGCCAAATACAAACTATATTGAAACTTAGGACGGTGTACCTAGACATATTAGGCAGTAATAGTCAGTGCATGTAAAATAATAGGTTGATTAAAAAAAAACGAGTGTTGTCAAAGTGTCAGTTGGAGTAAGCATTTTTTGTAAGGATGTTCCAATATAAATTTAAAGGCTCAACGAACGTTTGTTAGCACAAAGCTATACAATTGATCCAAGATACTCATACTCTGCTCACCGCGGGTATCTAATTTCGATTGTCAGCGTTATAAGCCCCAGGCTTACCGCTGAGCCACTTGAAAGATCAAAACGAATGTAAAGACACTAATACGCTAAAGGGCTCCTCTTTATATTCGTTGAAGAAACTTCTAACTAGGATATATATATATATGTACACACACACACACATGTATATATATATATATATATATATTAATACGAGTATATAAAGAAAAATACAAACAAGTCTAGCTAAGTATATTCGTTCCGAAAGATTTTTAGGGTTGGTCAGTGCCAAAAGAAAGTTGTGCATGTTAGTTATGATGGAAGAAATATAACAAGTGAGAAAATACTTTCGGTAAGACAAAACATTTGAGAAACTTGTAATGAGTGTACAATATTTCCAATAAAAATACAAACACAAATAAAATCATACTATACAATGTAATAATATCCAAGAAATATATAATGATAATTCTACAGAGGCGGGCGTTACTGTGGCCCTTAAAATGGTAGGGGGAGATATTTTAATGGGGTAATTTTATCATTTACCATATAGGGTATTCTGCAAAAACTCGCAGAAGATCAAGAATCACCACATTTGTAACAAAAATATATAAAAATTCTTAACTCAAGGAATTCGTTTATAAACGAATGAATTGTTTTTGTTTTGTTTTTCTGAATAGTGAATATATTCGGAGAAACTTACTCAGTAAGATATGATTTCAAATAGGAGAGTAAGGGGAAACAACAGTGACAAAAATGTTTATCTGAAGTAAATCACGGTAAAGAAAATCTAAGAATACAGAGAAATATGTGACAAAATACCAAAGGTCCACTGTCTGAAGCCAATAATTTTAGCGTGAAAAGTTGGCTCAGGGCTTGTTACTGGTTGTGAAAAAGAAAACATGTGATAAATCATATTTAGATATTTATAATAGATTTAAAAATATTAGATATCATCACGGGATCAGCCAAAGTGAAATATATAAAATAACGTTTTTATTAGTATTCATCCTATTCTGCGTAAATGCAGAAAAACCAGATTGAGCTCTCACACATTTAGGCAAAAAATGGCGTAGCCGTTATATATAATATACTAACAGAGTATTTAACCTTTGTGCCATATATTAATAACATCACTACACTAACAATAACACACATTTCTCTATTGTTAACATTCGAAAATACTCTTCATTATATAATATTATAGCCTTAGTTCAAAAACATCTTTATCACTCGGATACGTCAAATTCTGAAATACAAAGCATTCAGAGCGCAAACTATATTCTGCTCATGATGACCAATTTGAGATAGGTAGGAACATTTATCATCGAACGAAATTACACATCTTATAGTAATCTCAAAATCAAGACTTTTGATTAACATATTTTTTTAAGTGGAAGAAACTGGAGATAAAGCCAATTTTACATTTAGAATTATCATATGAATTTCAGTTAAACTGGCTGTACTTAGTACGTTTTTGGTACATTTTAACCAATTCATCATACTGGATGTGTATATAAAAAAATATCTGTATCGTGTACAGACGTAAGATGTTTTTCAGGTTCATTTACCAATAACAATGTAAGCTAATGTTCCATCTTAGTCGAGTTTGCTATAACTATTTTATAAAGCTATTCCACAACTTATGCATGCAAATAAGTTTAAAACCTTACCATCAATATACTTCTCAACTGGTAGCAATGAATTCGCCAGAAACAGACCATTCAAATACAAACTCAATAATAAATCTAATGTGCCTGGATTTTTCTAGTTTGGAAAAAAAAAAAGTGGTTTTAACAAGATCACGTGCAATCACATGACTTTCGGAGACTAGTTTTCTACCTGGTGTTCTAGAAAGCTAGCCTTGCCGTAGGGATCCGTGTGTCTCGTGATTTGTTGAGTCAGGAAAAGTGAGCTATGAAGCAGAGATCATTTTAATGAAGCAACGTAAAGGATTACTCATACAATCATATTCAAGGGTCTTATATGATGGTCAAAGTAACGAGATAAATAGCGTGTAAGACTGTATCTGTAAACCCAATAGTTGCCTTTCTGCACGTAATGGCTTAAAACTGTTCGTTTTGTATGCATAACCACTCAAACTAAGTTACTGTGTGCTACGTGGGATACATATTACAACAATAAATGAGAAGAGGAGGAGCTAAAAAATAACAAGTATAACCCTCAAATTGTTTTTTACGGTTCGCCAATGATAGGGTCCTCATATTGAGTAATCCTGTGTCTTTGCCTGTTACAACACTCAGTGGCAAAAAAGTGGGTGAAAACATTCGTTTTCTGTGTAAAAAATGAGCCCCATCAATAATTAATGGAACCTAATTGCAATATTGACGGTATTTCTTATTTGGCCCGATATGGCCAGGTGGTTAGGGTGCTCGACTCGCAATCTGTGTGTCG